TTTAATGCGTTCCTATACATATAACAGGTTTTTAATGTTAAAATATATGTGATCTCTCACGACACCGAACGTAGACTGTTGGTCTTGGTTGGTAGGCTGTACTGCTAACTACTATAGTTGAAATCTACCTTATAAGCACTCTGGCCTTGTCTGACACTTGTAGTCTGTAATTCTGCTATTGATGGGGAGTCTTGAGTTGGTAGTCGTCCGTGCTGACTCAAATGGATGGCACAATAGCCGCCCATCCCACAGACCCGATTTCCACCCTTCTACCACAAGCCTGGGCAGATACTAGTCTCTTGTCTTTTATGAACGGCGCAGTAACAGTTCTGCTGGATGTGACTCAGCAGGATTGTCTGATTACCTGAATTGCTGGAATTTGCTGTCCGTTTATCTGCCGTACATTCAAGACCCTTAAGTACGTATGCCATTGGATGGAGGGTTACAAACTGTCGAACTTTAATCGTGCAAATCTGCGCATCAATGGTCTTGGGTTCCGGTCCCATCTTTTGTTGGTTAACTCTGCTGGCTGTCACCTATTTGTCTATAAATGTGTTGGTTGGTGCGGAAACATACAAACTTTCTATACTTCTCGGCAAAATTTGCCGTAGCATCTAAAACTCGGATTCGATGAGAGTTGGTCCCCCGTAGTCGATTGTTGCTGTTCCGAAAACTGGTTGCTTGTCTACGTAATGAATTTATATTTCACCTATGTTCGGCAATACTCATTAAAAACCGGGTGATGTGGTATTTCGTGGTGAGAGAAACTTAAGACCCACCTCCGACGTCAGTTGAGATATGGCACCCGGACTGGCTGTTGACGGGTGCCTGATAGTGGCTTCACGTCGACCTGATCGGGGCGCCGGACCAATGACAAAGGAGTCCCTTGCGCTAATCGTTGAGGCTGTTTCGGGGGGTTGGAGGGCCCCGAACTTGGGGGATCTGCGTTGTGAGAGACGTCTCCTCTGCTCATCGCGACAAATGCTGTCCACGTCGCGGATGATGTCCAGAATGGGCGCTGGGGCGTCAACCCGCCGGCGCGTGGGCGACTCCTGACGTTCCTTGGCGTCCTTAAAGAGTCTTGCGGTGACCGCCATTGCCACGGTGGAGGCCTTGCGCTGCGGCGGTATTTGTTGGGCTGCCGGGTGCCTGCCAGCCGCCGAGCGCGGACGTGAGCGAACTCGGACTGCGTTGTCAGTGCTGCGAAAGCTGAGCAAGTAAGAAACCGAGGCAGTCATTTTTATACGTGTCCCTTTCAATAGGACGCAACCAGCCAATCGGGGCGTTTTGGGTATAACGCAATTTTACTAAAGAGCTACATGGCATGCGTGTATGACCTGGAACGTGCAAGATACTGACTTCTACCTAACTAAACCACCGGAGGGTGTACAATACGCTCTGGGTGAACAGCAGCAAGGACTGAGGAATTAAAATCACATGGAATGACTGCTCGACGGTGCAGGGTTTAAGACTGAAGCAACGACAAGTAACGGATGATGACACGGGATTTGGTAAGGCAGATTAAGAGCAACCATTTGACTTACAGAATCAGACAAGAAAAGACCTAACCTAGAGAAGGGGGAGTTTGGAAGATATTCCGCTCCTGAGGCATCAGCAGTGTTCTCGGTACTGACAATGATTTTAATCAGGTCGTTTGTCAAAGGATTTATAACAGTTAGTAACTGTTTTTTCTCGGGTGCAGATTTTGCAAATTGGGGGCTTGTCCCACGGAAAGTTTGTGTTCTACTACGTGAGTTCCGTAGTTAACAGCAAGGGAACGAATGTATTACTACTTGTTGATTTTATGCTAAATTGTCTGCTTATACACTCGAGTTTTTTGACAAATATTTGCTATATTTTTTATATTGAACCATGTTCTTCTGGCTTATGTGTATTCGCTTTGTGCACAAATGTGTCAGGAGAGTGATCATGCGGCTCACTCTTTCAGCGAACCCATGGGTCGATTCCTAATCAGGAAGTACATTTATTATAAATTATGTGTGCGAAACTGGAGCAAGTCTACCTGCTTTTCTAGAATTACGCTCTTATGATTCATTAAAGCGCATAGTTTATTTGTATCGAATTTACATATCCTGCCACCTCAAAATGATGACCAGGGGTGGAGGTCATCGTCTCGATATGATACTGGTGATCTTTGATGTTTTTGTTCGCGTTCAAGTGACTGTTGTTGCAGCGCCAATTACTATCTTGTTAATGTCGTCGATGGCAATTAAGATTTCACTGCTGCACATGATTCTGCTGGTGCTGCAGCTGATGGATAATGATGGTGATGGTGGTGATGATGATGATGATGATGGTGGTGGTGGTGGTGGTGATGATGATGATGATGATGACGATGATGATGATGATGATGATGATGATGATGATGATGATGATGATGATGATGATGATGATGATGATGATGATTATGATGATGATGATGATGATGATGATGATGATAATGTCGATAATGGCAGTACGTAAAAGGTAATAGCAGTAAGTTAGTAAATTTGGAACTCTCACTTCTCAGCCGATCTCGAGGTCAGTTGACTGGCCCTCTTTAAAGGCAGATCTTCATTTTCCAGGCAGTTAAAGCGCCGAGTTTCTTGAGGTCTGGGGCTCGGTCCGAGCCAGGGCAACGACCGAGCGGTCTTTTGTTCCGCGACCCTGGCTTCTCGTTGGGCTGCGCGCTTCGCTGCTACCTTTTGCTTCTCACGTTCCAGTGCCTGCTGTGCCTCCTGTGTCTTCCTCTCCTCTTCAATGGCAAGGCGAACGGCCTGCCGCGCGGCTGCAATCTGTCAGAAAGTACATCACTGTTCCTCTCAGTGTGTTTATAATCGTCAACAAGATATTGATGTTTGTGATGAACCTTAATTCTGTTGCTGGATTTGGCAAAAAAGTCTTCTGAAACAGACTTAGTTGCTTTAATCATTTTTGACAATTGATACACTAGCACCATGGGTGCATGATTTAGCTAAAAATGAAATACCAGTGGCTGTCGCAGCAGACCTATGTGAAGTAATTTACTAGCGCTTTTATCGTGAAAGCATTACATTATTTAACCTCATTTACTATCCATAAAATACGAGTGTAGCCGACAAACACTGCCTTGCGAATCCTTGCCTTTCACTGTACTATATATTCCACAAAAGTTGACTTGCGGGATTACGGAATAGACCCAGTTTTTACTGAGGTCGTTGGCTGTGGCCTATCCTTATTGTCTGGGGATGGCGCCTGCCCTATTTTGTTTCTTGACCTGCGGATAAAGTAGTGTTTTATTATAAATCTTCCTTTACTCCACAGTGGACCAGATGCAAAAACACCTTTGAGAGATCTTGGTTAAGTATGAATCAGTCTCAGCGAATTATTTCTCGTATTTTGTGAGCCAATGAGTTTTGGCCTGCAACTAACTGGAGCCACAGATAATTTTTTTCGGCTGAACGGAGGGGTTTGTACACAAGAGTCCCACGATTTCTAATGATAGGATTGCTTATAGGTTCGAGTATAAAACTCCAATCCGAGCAGTAAGTCAGAAGAAACATGTGTTTTAACAGCGGGTCTAGGACAGTTGCTATTTCGCCACCCAAATCAGACCAAATCTGGGAGCCGAAGTACAGAAAACCATTTCGCCCTATACCTACGCGTCGTCTTACTCGAAAAATCTGTAAGTGTAAAGGCTATCTGAAACACTATCCACTGTAATAGTTAACAGCCCGAGTCTACGTGAATACGGGATTTTGGTCAGTAAGTATGCGCTAGCTAGTTTAAAGATATTTCACTTAGACACGATAATCACTTGGGGAAGAAAAATACTCATAAGTGATAAGAGACGGCCATGAAAACGGTAAAACCGATGGCTGAAAAACCAAGATGCGCTTAAGTCCATAATATCTAAACTCATAGTTCCCAGTCATGAGAGCATGCTTTATCTTAGCCATAGTATAATTTTCTACTTTCTACTTTATTGTGAAAGTATAGAAGTTCTACTTTGTCCGTATGTAGTTCAGAGCATGCTAATGGATTACGTGCCGTTCGGGACAACATTACCGACAAAGAACAGGGAGACTGGAACGGCCTTTTTGGCCTGTTAGCTGTCATCAACCTGCCCGCAAGCACCCTTCCAGCGCCCTAACCAGAGTCAGGTGCTTGTCGTATCGGTCGCGATCCGATGTATTAACGGTGGTAGAGGGGCGCACATTGCGTTGGGAACACACTCGTCCAGCTGTGCTTTGTAAGCGCAACCTTATATTCGGAAGAATGAACCATGAACGATTATTTTTTCAAAATGTCGTGTTAGGTTATTTTCGTCACAATGACAATACGTTTTACGTTTGCCTAGTCAATCTTTATATGAAAATTCATATGCTCGAATTAATGTTTCCACACCAATGAGCATAGCAGCTACTCGATACGTCCCAATTTTGCTAAGTATAATAATTATTACTATTAGATGGTTATTTTGTTTTTCACGAATTTAAGTACACAAGGATCACTGAGAGAATTAGATGTAATTGATATACTGATACTTTTTCAACATTATGTGCATTTTAAAAAGTTCACGAACCTGAACAGGTCCTACAATTCGAAGATAATGCATGTTGTTTATGTACAGCTTCTTGTAGGCTCCATGTTCAATTGCCACAAATGCATTTGGTAAATTCCAGCCCAATTTGAGGCATTTCTTCATCCATATCTCATTTGACTCCGAAAGATATTTCCAATTCCAGCAAACCTTTATATAGTCAAGTGGCAGGCAGTTATTTAATCAAGTCTTTTTTATCTTCGCTAAGTTTTAAGTCGACATTTTCTCAAGAAACATTGGCAAACACGTTAGTGTGTGATGCTAAGAACTGGTTATTTGATAAGAGATGATGACTGGAATGAATAAACTTTCAACTGTCTTCAGGCGTTTCCCTCTATTTTGAGACATGCAAATGCTTGAGTCTCATAAGGTGGCTAGTCTATGATCTCCCAAAGAAAAACTGGTTTGACAACAAATAAATGCAAAAGTCAAGTTTTTCTCTTTAAAATTATCTAGTTAGTTGTCTAAATAAATGGACGGGATAAACTAATGGTTTTCAAGCAGTGTCATACGTTTCCTGTAGACGTTAATCCCGCTCATTATGTATTTAGCAAAACTGCCTTGTAACGCATCCTTTAAGTAGTTTTATCGAAGTCAGAATTTTCGATAGCGAACACCCTAAAACTTTACAAACTTATATATCCTTCGGATGCATGGACAGCTGCTGAGCGTTTCCTTCCTCACAGTTATTTTTTGATGAAAACTTAACAACTTCAATTACAGAGCGGGTGCTTGTCTTAGCTCATACCTAAAAAACACGCGGCTGGTAAGTCCGGGCGACGCGCGTGTTAAACCAGTGCAACATGCTGCTTCGCCAAAGCATGAATAGCATCACTGACAGAAGGAGGATCTTACTATGACCCTATATGTCGGCGAGTATTGGGAGGGTTATTTTAGTCCATAAATTCTGTATGTACTGCAGTGTTTGTGAAACGTCAAATTTATTGCTCCCCAAAAGCTAACATTTGCCTACAGTTTGTTTATGGTACAATTCTCTGTCTTCAACGGTAAATAAACACAATATGAGCGGGTTTTACCTGTGCAGTCCTGCAGAGGCTTCTGGGATCAAGAAACGACAGCACATACAAGGATAGCACTCGCGGGAGGTAGCGCGTAAAGTCCACGTGCTTTTGTGGGATCTGTCGATGTATCTCATCCACAATTCTCCTCTTTTCTTTCAAAGAGCAAAGTGCTAGCATTTTTAGTAGAAAACTAGCTTTTTCATCATCTGGCCAAAGCTGAAACTGCATACGCGTTAGAACAGGTGGACCTATCATTGGTGGCTGACTTACCCACTTCAAGATAAGGAGCGAACGCTCATGTGCGAGCTAAACCATAAAACAAAAAGCTATGACCATTACCTTTCTTCTATATTCTTCATCATTTAACGGCGTCCAAGAACTACGAGTGCACTTTATGGCCGACTGGGGCACCCCAGCGCAGGACATTGCAAGTCTAGCTATGCGCGAGACGCTATTGTTTTCATATTGATTAGTTCAAACAATAAATATTTAACTGCGGAATGAGTTTGCGTTTTGATACACAAGTGATCAGTGTGTTTCATCTGCATCTTGTTTATAGACTGAAGATTTTAAATTCGAATTTCTAGGAGATTTTATGGGCTTAAGGGAATAAAATTAATTTATTCAACTGCGATAATAAGCCGATTCCAATGTAGTTTAACGCATGTATCTAACGTATTTGGTTGGCGTATTTTGCCCACTTGCACACTTTGACTAAAAATATCAAAAGCAACCTTCAGGCGCTTCGGAAACGGAAGGTTCATAAGACCTGGTGATGAAGACTTTTATTCTTTCGGGCTATTCAGCCCTGCCTTGAGCAGCACTTGTCCTTGAACAGCTGATTAGTTTACTTTGATTATCTACAAGTCGGACGCCCAATGGCAATAATAAGAAACTACGCTGATATGTTTCAGCTTCTCAAAAACCAACCGCTGCCTCATAAAATAGCTTCTTTTATAGGCTTGTGTGCAATCCAGACATTCTGAGGCGCACTGATTTAATAAATACTAACTGCTTATTGAAAAACTTCAAATCATAAAGCTCAGTACCAGTGATTCGGATTTCGACACTATGATAGAGAGGCTAGAGCGTGTCAGTAGTCCGTTTCCTATCCCGACCAGAGTGGGTGACGTCAGAAATAAAGAAGAACCTTAAATTGAAAAGGAGACTTTGGAAAAAGTACGCGAGATATCAGCAACCAGAGCATTTCGCCTACTTTAAAGAACAAAGCAGTGTATGTGGGAACCTGTTGGGGAGGAAGCGTGAAGAAATTGAGTCAAAATTCCTTAAAAATGTCCCGCAAAATTCCAAGAATTCTTTAGATACGTGAATAATTCGAAACGCAACGGGGACTGCACTCCCTGTCTAAATGATTGCCAGGAGAATACGTTGTCTGACACTTCAGATAAGGCGAACCTGTTGTCCGATTTCTTCACGTCTGTGTATACCGAGGAGCCAGCTTTTGATGAAAGAGTTTATCCCTCCAAATGTCAAATCAAACAATACAATTAGCACGGTGGCCTTCACAAGAAACACAGTAGGAAAAACTTAGAGTCAGCTACAGCCCACTAAATCGCCTGGTCCGAACGGCGTGCTCGCAGAAGTCCTGAATGAACTCTTAGACCAACTGGTCTCTCCGTTATCCAGGACCTTCAGAAGTTTGATGGAGACCGGGACTGGAAGAAAGCAAATATTAGCCACATATATAAAGGCGGCGAGAGAACAGCCCCGAATTGTTTCAGACCAGTGAGTCTTACAAGCATCTGTTGCAAGGGCATTGAAAAGGTAATAAAAGCGGAGCTGGTGCAGCATGTTGAAGAAATCAACTTGCTCAGTTTGCATCAGCATGGATTCCGAAGGGGTCGATTCTGTCTTTCTAACCTGCTAGTATCCATGGAGAGCTGGACGAAATCAATCAACATTGGTTTATCAGTCAACGCCGTGTGCATTGACAGTGTGCTTTTGACAGTGTTCCACACAGACGACTTATATTTGAACTACGTCAAGTGGGCGCCAGTGGGAATCTGTTGAAATCGTTAGCCGATTTTCTTAGACTGTGTGTACCGGAAACGCTAGATTGGAATTGGCATCCGTTAACTGCGGCGTTCCGCAGAAGAACGTTCTGGGTCTAATTCTGTTCTTAATATATGTGAACGACTGCCTGGACTGCCTGAACTGCGAACGCGTAATGTTTGCTGATGATCTAAAATTGTGGAAGTCAATAGAGACGCCGGAGGACTATCTAGAGTTGCAAAACAATGTGAATCCTTTGCAACAATGGTGTGATGAATGGTGTCTTAGCCTCAATCGTAACAAATGTCAACTTGTCTGATTAAGATCGAGCAGCAGGAGGCCGTTCAGAGTTGAATCTCACTACTTTATAGGAGGTCACTTACTCGAGTCAGTCAACGAGTTAAGATACCTCGGTGAGGGGAGGACGTCAGCTCTCAACCCATCGTCTCACTGCGCCAAGGTATCAAAGAAAGCTATTGCTATCCTAGGGGCGATTAGAACATCCTTCCTCAATTTTGACGAAGAACTTTTCGGCTGAGTATTCGGAATATTTGTTTGACCAATGTTGAAATATTGTGTTCAGGCATGGTGTCCCTGGACGAAGAAAGATTACACCCGGCTGGAGAACGTAGAACTAAGAGCAACCAAGCTGGTCAGCGGATTAAGTAGGTTACATTATGAGAGACGCCTGGGAAAGTTAAAAATATTTCCTCTCTCTTATAGACACTACAGAGGTGATATGATCATGGTTTTCAGGATCGTCAAGGGCTAGATTGTACTCTTCAGTTTGGAGATTTCGTCGAACTGGCGAGGACGACCAATCTTCGAGTGCACCAATACAAATTGAAGCTAAACTATGCCGAACTCGAATTTCGGGTCAAATTCTTCTACCACCGACTGCTTGAAGGATGGAACAAACTGCCGATCTCCGTTGTCTTAGCGGAAAACGTTGAGATCTTCAAAAGTGGGCTAGATAAATTTATGCTTGATGGTCAAGCATTTACACGATATCAATGACTGGCATAACTGTTATGTAAACATCTGCATGCTTTCTTTCATACGTCTATCTGTAAATAGAGTTTTCCAAGGCTCTGACTATATCCCTCATGTATACTAAATTTTTCTGAATACGGAATTTACCGAACATTTTAGTGCAAAAGTGGTGCAAGTGGATTAGAATATCAACGGAAACCAGGTTTGATGCTTTTTAAATATTTGTCTGTATATGTTACGTAGTTTTAGCTTTAGCTTGCTGCTCCAACGCGTCTGTCAAGACTTTGAACGATAGTTTCTGTCGATTGCGATACATCCGTCACAGGCTTGCATGCGGATGGTTGTATGTCCAGTTTAGTTCACGTCCTGAACAAGAATACAAGGCACGGCCTTACGAAAGCTCCTCATTTATTTCCGGCACATTTATATGGTCAGCAAACAGGATATGCTGATGGAAATAATAATAACAATAATAGTTGTATTTAATGCCGTTTTACATGCCCTGTCAGGGAAGCGTTAGACACAAATCCGGCCAGCAGTGAAAAAACTTCTGTCAAAAAGGAATAAAAATAAAGTTGATGGTGGTTTTTATAGTTTGGAGGCTCAGATGAAAAAAATTGCTGACCGCAATCTGCCGACAGTCAAGAAGGGAGGAGTTGCACGATATCCGATATTATCAGTCGCAAATTCTTTTCATGAAGTTGGGGCTGGTCCAAATAGAAGCGCCAAAGAACAGCTGTCGCTGTTGGCTTAAGTAATTGTCCCTTGTGAGACCGGTCATAGTGATCAGAGACCACAAACGCCATCGCTACAGTAAAGTCGATCAGTGGATTCAGCACCCAAAATTTGTGGGTTTTTCTGAACGCAAAAATCGAGCAATAGTTCTCTTAAATAAAGGATGATTTTGCAGATTTTTTACATTCCTGGGTAAATTATTACAAATAGTAATTGCATTTACAGAATAGAACTGACAACAAAAAAGCCTACTTCACTCCGTAAACAAAGCATTCTTACGCCGGTGCTTCGCAGCCTAATTTGAGGCCGTTGATATCGGAACGTTGAATAATTTTGTCACTTTTCACAGTCAATTATTATTCGTACTTAGCCTATTTTCCTGTCAAGGTTTTCAGCCCTGGTCGATGTGATTTTTAGGCCTACTCAGTGGTCGGACCACGGCATAGTTGTTTCACATTAAGAACTTGAAGTGGAATAGATTTTGTTCAAAAATATAGCCCTTTCTTCGTTTCATGGTAAATACGTTCGGCAGAATCACTGACATCTTTTTATTACGACTAGATTGAGTTGTTTTCAAGTTCGGAAGATAAACGACGGAATTTAGAACCCATCTCTCTCTCTCTCTTTTTGTTTTACGGAAGAAATGATTGATACGACGGGTGAGGTTTTCTTGTCTTCATCCTTCCGCCTTATGCTGCGAAGGCCATCTCATGGATTCCGTCCGCAAAACGTCTTAACTCTGCCCTTGTTCAGCCCCATTTCTGACGGACTACGATGCCGTCCGAAGATAAACGGATAGTCGATGTGGTCAACTTTATTAAAACATCTCATCAAGCGTCGCGAAAATTTTTCTCGCGCAAATACAACTCACGGAAAAACGCAGTACCTAACCATTTGGGGCGCCCCTGAGAACCCCATTGTAGACGCCAACTTGAACATGGTTTCAGTGCTAATTTGTCCAAAACCTTTTTGAAGACTTAACCGTTACGCATTCTAGCATCCAGCTTTGAATTGTTTATATTCCCAAAATTGTAACTTCTGCTCTCTAGCACGGAACCATAATAATTCGACGCATTCGTTAATCTCATAGTTCTGGGCGGAGTAATGTCCCGTTCAGAATTTCAAAGGCTATCGCAAACGCAATTTTTCCGTCCGTCCTGAAAGCGAATCCTGTTGCAGTTAGGCGAGGGGCCCACACACTCAACCCCTTCTCATCACGACCAGTGCAGTTCATTTGACGACTTTTCTTAAATAACATCCTTCCGCCAGTTTCGAAAATATTAAAGGTCTTGGTCAAACATTAGACGGCATACCACTTACCAGAAATTACAATAGTGAGTGTGGCCCAGCGTAGATTTCTCGAAGTTCGATCTCGTGATTTCTGCCAGCTCTCTTTTTTGATAATGTCCTATAATCTAGGGACAATGATTTTTCTCTTGACGCAGACTATTTCGCCTATTCTAAGGTTTTCGATCGCGCTGACGATCCGCTTCTTCTCTTGAAGGTTTTCCCTCCCCATAATGAGTGGTAGAATTCTGAATTTAATATCTTATTCATTAGGATTTCCAATCCCTCACGTGTGAAATGTGGAGTTACTCACGACAGTGAAAGAGATTATCCCTTATTTTGCCTTGTGTCAATGACGTTCAGACCTATATTAAAATAAGTAGTTTTTATTAGAAAAG